TCCCAGAATTCCCCTGCTGGCTGGGGAATTCTGGGAGTTGAAGTCCACCTGTCTTAAAGTGGCCAAGGTTGAGGACCCCTGCCCTATAACATCAAGCCATCTTAACTTCCTCCTGCTCACTTCTGCATTCAATTCACATTCATTCATTATCTGTGCCGGTGTTTCTTAAGGGGTGGTCCGAGGGCCCCCCAAGACCCTCTCGGTGGTGCTCGAAATCAAAATTATTTGCCCGGTATTGCAGATATTTGCAAAAAATTAAAACCATGGCACTCTTTTTTTTTATTGGTTAAAAAAAATACAGTTTTTTTCCTGAAAAACATTTTATTTATGTCAATACCTCATGGGTTTAATGTTGTTGTTTTTACATGCTTCAGTAAATATTCTAGGAATGCGTCCATTTTAATTTTTAATATGGCAAATATGACTCATACAGGCAAAAGTCCTCCCTGTTGGGGTCCTCCATAATTTTTGAATGGGGGACGTGGGAGCAAAAAGTTTAAGAAACACTGATCTATTCACTCTCTTTTTCTACTGGCACACACACATCTTAAATACCCCGTTCCCCCTACATTTAACCACGTTTGTGTTTCTTCTCAAACACCCAACTCACTTCCATATATTGATACAGGCAAAAGCCCACTTTTACACACCACCCTGTGCGGCTTTTTTGGATAAACATGAATTCCTCGTCACCTGCGACCCACCTCCTTTCTACCAATATTTACACATTCTTCCATTTTCCCCATTTTAAAAACGCATTCTAGCAAGGTATACAAATTCATCGACTTGCTTTACTTTTTCACCATTTGTGTAATCATTTACTCCATTTTGCCTGACAGATGCAACCGCCTTGTTCTCGGAGGCATTGACTTTCAGATCCTTCCTGTGCGTTGCATGATACAATCGACCTAACATTTGCTGCAAATAAATGTTTGCGTTTTTGAAGAAGTGGGCTGGGTTTGTACAGCTGACTTACCCAGGTTAATAGCAGGAAAGGGACAAATTGAAACCCAAATTGGGGTTTAAAGGGGTTCATCGTGGAACAGTCCCCCAAGTCCTGCTTGGGGAGTCCTCCAAGGAATGAAAAGATCTAGAACAGTGGAAAATATGAGGTGTTCTATTACAAAACTCCCTGTCAAGGTTTGGCAGCCGTAGAACACACCTCTGGTTTGACCCAGCGGCCGTGCCATCCTGACTGCTGATGCCAGGCCACTGGCCAGAGATAGGACAATGGACATAGTAAACTGATAGTATCTCTTAATCTGGGGGACTTGGACTCACAGCTGCTGCTTGATGAGCAAGGGGCAGCTGTGGCCAGGCAGGGCTTCGAACGGCTTCATCTGGAGCACCAGTTGTGCCCTTTCCTGGATCGGGAGTCTCTCACGCCCTGGTCACCTCAGAGCTTGACTACTGCAACGTGCTGTATACGGAGCAGCCCTTGAAGACCTCTCAGAAGCTTCCACTGGTCCTGAATGTAGCAGCACAAGCAGCGATGGGCGTGCCTCAGTATGCCCATGTGACGCCTACGCTCTGCAAGCCCCACCTGCTGCCAGGGTGCTTCTGGGTCTGATTCAAGGTGCTGGTTATGACCTCTAAAGCCCTACGTGGCACAGGGCCCAGTTATCTGAAGGACCACCTATCTCCCGCAGTATCAGCCCACCCAGGTTGATCTGAGAGCGGGGGTGCTCCAGGCCCCCTCGAATGAAGAGGGTCGTCTAGTGGGACCCAGGAAGCACACTGTCTTTGTAGTGCCCCCTGCCCCCTGAGAACCACCTCTCCCACCCTGATGGCGCTCTGGAGGGCCTTGAAGACCTGGACCTTCTCCCAGACCTTGGACTAGACCTTGGTTGGAGTCCCTGCGAGTTTTCTTAATCTGTTTTTTCGTGTTGTTGGCCCGATTCGCCATCTTGTTCTTTATTTTATCCTTATCCTATTTGTTTGTGTCGGTTCTGTCTCTTCAGCTGTGGTGGACTTTATTCTCTTTGCCATACTGTGAGCCGCCCAGCGTCATTCTGGAGTCGAACGGCACCTAAATCAATCAAATTTCAAATTCTACATTTTAAATTTTAAATTTTAAATTCTACATTTACAATTTCAAATTTCAAATTCTACATTTACAATTTAAAATTT